TGTTGGAAAGATGAGTTTCAGTCTGTATGGATCTTTGTTGGAAAGATGAGTTTCTTGTAAGCAGCAAATAGATGGGTTTTGTTCCTTAACCCAATCAGCCAATCGGTGTCTTTTAACTGGACAGTTCAGGCCATTCATGTTCAATGTGACTAATGATAAGTGGTAACTTTGCCCTGCCATTTGCCAAAGATAAGTTCTAATATATGCTTTGAATTCCCTGTGATCTTTTGCTGTGAGCTTTCCTTCTTTGGTTTCCTTCCTTTACCTTCTTTCATATTGATGACCGTGTTTCTTTGTTTCTGTGTGTAACACATCTTTAAGCATCTTTTGCAGGGCTGGACGAGTGGCAACAAATTCTTTCAATTTCTGTTTGCTATGAAAAGTCTTTATTTCACCTTCATTCACAAATGATAGCTTTTCAGGATATAATATTCTGGGCTGGCAGTTTTTCTCTCTTAGTACCTGGGCTATATCTCGCCATTCCCTCCTAGCTTGTAGAGTTTCTGATGAGAAGTCAGCTGTGAGTCTGATTGGAGATCCTCTGAGAGTAATCTGACGTTTCTCTCTTGCACATTTTAGGATCTTTTCTTTATGTTTCACTGTGGAGAGTTTAATTACAACGTGTCGTGGTGAGGATCTCTTTTGGTCGTGTTTATTAGGGGTTCTGTGAGCTTCCTGTACTAGGATTTCTCTGTCCTTCTCCAAACCTGGGAAATTTTCTGCTAATATCTCACTAAAAAGGCCTTCTAATCCTTTCTCCCTCTCCATGCCTTCAGGAACTCCTAGAACCCGAATGTTGGGTTTTTTAATAGTATCCTGAAGATTCCCGACAAAATGTTTTAGATTTCTAATTTCCTCTTCTTTTCTTTGGTCTGACTGTATCCTTTCCTGTTCTCTGTCTTCTAAGTCCGATATTCTCTCTTCTGCTTCACCCATTCTGTTTGTAAGGCTCTCTATTGTGTTTTTCATTTGATCTATTGAATTCTTCACTTCAGTCACTATCCCAGTTTCCTGTTGTACTAGTTGTTTCGTTTCATTTTGATTCCTCCTTAATATTTCATTTTCACGAGAGAGATTTTCTATCTTGTCCATTAAGGATTTCTGTAGTTCAAGAATTTGTTTCTGAGAACTTCTTAATGTTCTTATCAATTTTTTGAGATCTGCTTCTTGCATTTCTTCTATATCATCATCCTCATAATCTTGAATTGGGGTGTCTTTTTCATTTGAGGGCTTCATGGTGACTTCCTTGTTTTTATTACCTTGGTTTTTGCGTTTGTTATTTGGCATATTGGAGATATTTGGTTTCTTCACTGTGGTGCTTTTTCTTGTTATACTATGACTCTAGATTAAGTGGACTATCTGTTTTTGATGGAGCCTTAGGGCTTGAGATGGGTGTGGCCTGAGAGCTCTGTTTGGTGTGCCAAAGGTGACACTCCCAGGTTAGGCGTGGTAAACCTCTCTCTCTCTCTCTCTCTTTTTTTTTTTTTTTTTTTGATTCAAAAGGGAAGTTATTCTGCACAGCTGAACCAAGTTGGAGGTAGTTAGCAGGCAAATGATATACCCACAGGAGCCAGAGATCAGAAGCTCTTTCCCAAGGACCACATAGGGAATCTGTTCGGCCCTCAGAGTGGGCTCAAATTCTCCTTCAGTCTCCCACTGGGTTGCCAAAGTTACGGAATTGTAGCGTCTCTGGAGAGTGCTCACGTGAATTCCGTGAGTTCTCTCCCCCACCGTCTCTTTTTTCACAGTCTCAGTTCAGTAGCACCACAAATTTACTAGGTCCTAATCTCCTGTTAATTTGCCCCACCCAGAGTCAGGTTTTTCTGCAGGCTCAGGGCCGGTGCAGACCTGAGGTCACTCTGCTTATGATGTATGTCCAAGATGGCGCCTGCTCTTTGTCTTGCTCGCCCTTGAGAGGTGAGCGGAGAGAGAGAAACCCATGTCCGTACCAGTCACCTTTTTTTTTTCCTCTCTCTCTCTTTCAGTTAGCCTGGTGAAGTCCCCCCCCCCCCCCGGGGGTCGTTCCCTGAATGAGAGTCATTCTAACTGCAATGCGGTAAAAATTCATTGTAGTTTTGATTTGCATTTCCCTGACGGCTAGTGAGCCTGAACCTTTTTCATGTGTCTGTTGGGCATTTGGATTTTCTCTTTGGAAAAATGTCTGTTTAAGTCCTTTGTTCATTTCTTAACTGGAATGTTTGTTTTGTTGTGGAGTTTCTTGATCTCTTTCTATATTCTGGTTATTAATCCTTTAGCAGTTACATAGTTTGCAAATAATTTCTCCCATTCTATCAGTTGCATCTTCACTTTCCTGACTGTTTCTTTTGCAGCACAGAAGCTTCTCAGTTTGATGTAATCCCATTTGTTAATTTTGGCTTTGATTGCCTATGCCTCTGGGTTTTTTTCCAAAACTCTTTACCTGTGCCAATATCTTGCAGGGTTTCCCCTATGTTCTCTAATAATTTGATAGTATCTGGTCATAGATTTAGGTTTTTAATCCATTTTGAATGGATTTTTGTATAAGGTGTAAGATAGGGGTCCTACTTCATACTTCTGCATGTGGAGATCCAGTTTTCCCAGCACCATTTGTTGAAGAGACTGTCTTTGCTCCAGGGATTGATTTTAACTCCTTTATCAAAGATAAGTTGGTTGTAGATGTGTGATTTATTTCTGGCATTTCTATCTGATCCATTGGTCTATCCATCTGTTTTTGTACCAGTAACGGGCTGTTTTGATTATAATTGCTTGTAGTATGTCTTAAAATCTGGTATTGTGATGCCTCCAGCTTTGTTTTTGTTGTATAAAATTGCCCTAGCTATTTGAGGTCCTCTGTGTTTCCATATGAATTTCAGCATCATTTTTTCTAGATCTGCAAAGAATGTCTTTGGTATTTGATTGGTATCGCACTGAATGTGTAAATTGCTTTCAACAGAATGGACATTTGGATTATATTGATTCTTCCAATCCATGAACATGTCTTCTTCTATTTCTTTCTTTAATGTTTTGTAATGCTCATTGTAGAGATCTTTAATATCCTTAGTTAAATTTAGTCCAAAATATTTGATTACTTTTGTAGCTATTGTGGATGGGATTGATCTTAGAAGTTGTTTCTCAGCCGTGGCATTGTCTGTGTATTGATTTTATATCCTGTCTGGGCTTCCCTTCATGAATTTTCCATGGCTCTATCTCTGATGTGTATTTTCTCCCCTTATAACTATCTATTTTGCCCGGCATGACTCAGATCGTTCTGTTGCTATTCCACCATCTTGGGACCTCCCATCTCACTGCCTCTTGTTTGAGGAAACTGGATAAGGCTGTTAAACATATTGTTGTGGCACTTGTACATTTAGTTCCATGTAAAAAGATTTTGTTCCAAGGAAATCAACACATTTTTCAATGACACTGAAATCATCTAAAGTTAAATTTCCCAAATGTTTTTCATTTTCACACGCAGTTAAAATGAAGAAAGGAGTAATGTTATAGGTCTGACCTCAAAGATTCTTCTAGTTTTTATCTCCCTGCCCCCATGGGTGGAAAAACCTGTATTTCTATACCTTTTCCTGGGTAGGAGAAGAATAGCAATGGGGTCAATGATCTGTCATTAGTGAAAATGATGTCAAATGACCTGGCTTCATGGGAAATCAGAGAGTCCTATTATGCAGAAGTTGAAACATATGATTCAGAAAAGTGAGTTGGACATGAATGAACAACACAGAGGGAAAATCAGGAATAGACAGTTTTGCTTGGTAATCAACATCCATAATTTCATGTGTTTAAGCAGAGACTATCAGGGCAATGATAACAAGGATTTCTGCACTGATTGTTATAAATGGCTATTTGAATTTGAAAATTCTATGATTTTTAAGATTTTCCTGTGTTCAAAAAATGTGAATTCCATGGCTAAGATTGAAGTTTCCTATTAGTTCCTGTCACTGGGAACTGTCTTAAAGTTATTAGCAAAAAATAAGAATCCATCCCAAGGAGGAGCTGTAAAAGCAAAGTGAACAGTTTCACTTGTTGGCACTTAGTTTGTAAAGTATTTATCCTTTATGCAGTTCAAAAATTTCATATGTATAAATATTCAACAAATATACTCATACATTTCAATAATCCTATCAAATGCATGATTGACATAATTATAGCTAGAAAATCTTGTAAGGAAAGTTAGGGAATTATATATATATATATATAAAAATGTTTGTAATTCCATACCTGAGTCTATCTTAGAATATTTATAATAAATATTTATAATAAACACTAACAAAAGTATTCAAATATATAAAAATAATGCAATGGATAACATGAGGTAAATATTTGATAAAATATTATTTGGCCATTAATATTACCTTTGACATCTTAATATTTTATCCTTTCAATTTTTGTATATAAAGTGGAAGCATTTGTTGAAAACAATGGCTCTATTCTCTTAACTATTGGAATTCTATAATTTCTTCCCTTGGTTCTCTCCCAGAATGAGAGATAGCTCCTTCTACTTGAAAAAACTCAATCAGTAGCACCTAGCCAGAAATACGAATTGAGTACATGTGAGTATAAGGGTCTTCAATATGTTTGTGGACAAATGGCATAAAAGACACATTTATTTTTGCATAAAAATTATTTCATGCATTTTTCTCAATAATATGAAATTTCCATGAACTGTTTGAAGACCTCTTATATTATGTATGAAGCCCTGCCATACACATTAAGAAATCAGAAAGTAAGTACAGAGTCTCAGCTCTCAAGTCTCTTAAAAAAGCAAGCAAGAGCTAGGACTCAAGCCATCCAAGGAAGTCAAGTGGTAGCCTGTGACTGATAGGGAGTGCTCCCAGGACTCAGTGGATGGGACTCTCTCCTTCCATGCCCCAAGAAGCATTGATAATGAACAGAGAGTAGGGAACATACCTGTTAGATTCCATATCAACTAAGTATGTTTTTCAGGAAAAAAACCTAAGGGAACAGAATCTTCATAAAGAAATAACAAGCCATGATTGTCCCCACAGGAGCCTGTGTGGTTCGAGATGCCACTGGGAGCATGAATGACACCATCATTTCTGGGATAAACTGCAATGGGTCAGCAGCCTGTGGGTTGGGCTATGACTTCTCAAGATGCCGACATGAACCATGTCAGTATGGGCTGATGAACAATTTCCAGGTTCGAATTGAAAAAAATATTTATTGCTATGGTTTTCATTTTTAGAATACCATGTATACAAAACTCTTGAATCTGCAGCTAATTGATTATTGGTTGATTTGAATTGAACAAGGAACAATTTGTATAGGAGAGGAAGGAATCGTATAGGCATCATATGACAGTAAATACTGTTGTTTCATTTGGTATGAGTGGCAGGTAGACGGGGACAACAGGCACTTGTGCAAAGTGCATCACCAAGGTGAGATCACCACTTGATTTTATGTGTCTTTCAAAATTTCATGGTGGAAAGAGAAGCTTAGATTAGCCAGCACTAATGGTAGCCTGTGTGGTGGCCCTGGCATGCCTGGAAGACAAGGTCAAGCAAGAAATAGTGAGTGGCAGAGAGGGAAGGCATCAGGAAAGTTGGGAAAACTGTAGGACTAGAAATATATTAATTTGTGTGACTGGTGAGCAGAGGGAGAAGTAAATTTGTCATGAAGGCTTCATTCATCTATCTTAACAACCAACAAAGAGAAATTAACTTGGCTGAAGTCATTATTCCAAAATAGGATTTAAATTGATAGAATCTCATCATGTCTCAGATCTAAAATTATGTTTAATGAGCATAGAAAAAAACACAGGTTTGAAAAGCCTCTATGTGCAGGAAAAAGAAAGGCTAATGTCTTTTAAAAGACGGGTAAACAGATGAGCCCCTCCCCAAACCTTATTAAAGTACAGTCATCTATCTGCTCAATACAATTTCCCATCATCAAAGAAACATATGACCACAGGGAAAAGAAGGGGGAAATGTCAAAATCCTTGAAATTATTTCCTTCTTTATTCTTTCCACTATTTTCTGGATATATTGTGATGAGCATTTATAATTTAATAAACAATGGAAAAAGACAGGGCCAAGCATTCTGATGCAGCAGTTCAAGCTGCTGCTTGGGATACATGTACCTAATGCAAGAAGAAGGGTTCAAGTCCTGGTTACTCTGCTTCTGATCCAGCTTCCTGCTAAAGCACATCCTGGGAGGCAGTGGTAAGGGCTCAAGTACTTTGGTCCCTGCCACCCACATGGGAGACCCTCATGGAATTCCAGGCTCCTGGCTTCAGTCTGGCCCAGCTCCCAGCTGTTATTGGCATTTGAGGAGTGAATCAGAGTTTGGAAGATCTCTCAGGCCAGCGCTACGGCTCACTTGGCTAATCCTCCGCCTGCAGCGCCAGCACTCCGGGTTCTAGTCCCGGTCAGGGCGCCGGATTCTGTCCTGGTTGCTTCTCTTCCAGGCCAGCTCTCTGCTGTGGCCAGGGAGTGCAGTGGAGGATGGCCCAAGTGTTTGGGCCCTGCACCCACATGGGAGACCAGGAGGAAGCACCTGGCTCCTGGCTTCAGATTGGCGCAGCGCGCCGGCTGTAGCGGCCATCTGGGGGGTGAACCAGCGGAAAGGAATACCTTTCTCTCTGTCTCTCTCTCTCACTGTCTAACTCTGCCTGTCAAAAAGAAAAAAAAAATCTTTCTCTCTAAAACAAAATGAAAATAAATAAATAAAATTTTGAAAAGATCATTCTATTTTTTGAAAAGTAAATACAAAGAATGAAGCAGGGGGAAAAAAAATCTGACCAGAAACAATTTTTTCATAGAACAGACCCCAAATCACAGAACATGGAAAAGGAAGCATGTACATAAAATTGCTGGTTTTTATTTTTAGCTGCCTATTGAAGGGATTTTTTTTTTACCTGAACCTGCTTCTTCCAGGTCATGAGCATGGTGTCAGGGTTTGGCCCTCTCATCACTGCTGGAATCTTTTCGGCAACTCTGTCCTCTGCCCTGGCCTCCCTCGTCAGTGCACCCAAAGTGTTCCAGGTAATACAGGCACGGAGCCGGTGCTCCTCCCCACTGCTGTTTCCACTGAATGGGGATCCAGCTGAAACATTCATTCTCGCCGGCAATCATTTTCCATCATTTTCTGAAATTGTTAATGTTTGCATCTGGCCCAAGCGCTGTGTCTGCCACATAGTCAAGATCAATTCAAATAATATAAAGAATGATAAACTGCAGTGTTAACTTGTGCCTCATATTGTGTATCACTTAATCTTCCCCCAAGTCTTCTTGTTTGAATCACATAGCGAAAATGACTGTGCATAGATATAAATGACAAATTTCTCCTCTTCTTTTCCATTAGGCTCTGTGCAAGGACAACATCTACAAAGCCCTGCAATTCTTTGCAAAGGGATATGGGAAAAACAATGAACCCCTGAGAGGATATATTCTCACTTTCGTTATAGCCATGGCATTTATTCTTATTGGTTTGTAATTTTCTTGTTCTTACTGAAAGCCAAATCATTCTGATTACTCATAGGGTTTTCCTTTTTCTTTGAGAAATTACCAACTATATGTTAAAATCCCATTTGGGAATATTAGAATCTGTCTAAGAAGGAAATAAGAAATCTTTATGTGTAGAACGCTTTGAAGAACTTGAGGTGGACTTAGAACTTTAATCTGATCTTTGGATCTGAATATTGGAAACCCATCCAACCAAGTGCGACTGAATTCTTCTTCTGATCTGCCTAATACATTGGGTAATCCCAGAGTCTCCTCAAGCTGCCATGTCTACTGGCCAAACAGTAGAATTGAATTGTCTATGTTAGTATTTCTAAAATGTGGCATATCCAAAGCTAAGAGCCAGGAGCTTCTTCCAGGTATCCCACATGGGTGCAGGGGCCCAAGTACTTGGGCCATCCTCTGCTACTTTACCAGGTGCATTAGCAGCAAGCTGTATCGGAAGTGGAGCAGCCAGGAGTCAAACCAGCGCCCATATGGAACGCCAGCACTGCAGGTGGTGGCTTAACCCACTATGCCAGAGCACTGACCCCTAAAATCACTCTTGTAAATTGGTACGGATTAGCTCTATGCACAACTTCTATGGCAACTGTGTCTGCCTGTTTCCTTGTAGTTATCTATGTTATAGAATCATACCCAGCTGCACTTGTATGTGCATCTCTGATGCTGATAGATGTCTGACCTTCAGAGAGGATGCCTCTACATTTTTTCCTGTATCACACAGAAAACAATCCAGCTGGGATTAAATCATACTGGATATTCCACTACAGAGATGAAAGTACTTTTGGAAACCTTGAGAGGTAGAATTCTTTATAAATGACTAACAAGAATCCTGAATGTCTAAGAATGTAGTGAGTATATGCAGAAGTTACCAATTTGGAGTTTCTGATGCACAGGTATCCAACTAATTCGTCACCCTGCAGAGCCTTTTGATTGCAGACATAGCAGATAAAGAACACATGCTACAGTGCCTCCAGAATGGCTACAGGGGAGTTGATTGTATGTCCAGCCCCTAAACCTTCTAAGCAACTCCCACTTGACTTTCTTACAGGCAGAGGTCTTGATGACCTGATTTTTGATTGGTAGGTTCTCTTGCTTCTTCTCTTGTGGAAACTCTGGCTCACAATATTATATGCAGCCCCCAAGAAAAATCACTAGCTTCTTAAACTTTGACAGATGCGAGCTGTGTTTTCAATTTCCAAATAAAGTCAAGCTTCCAGGCGGGAACAGCTGTTCAGCCCCTGCTCTCATCACTCATCAGTACATGTTCAATTCTGCCCCTTTTTACAGCGGAGCTGAACACCATTGCTCCCATCATCTCCAACTTTTTCCTGGCCTCTTATGCGCTTATTAATTTCTCCTGCTTCCATGCCTCTTATGCCAAATCTCCAGGTAAGTTTTCATATCAAAACTAAAATAAGTCTAAGCAAACAGTGAGTTTGTCTCAATAAAATAAGTCAGTGAAAAGTGTTCAATCTGTGTTTATATGTTTTCTTATATCCTAGTGGGCAGTGTAATCCACTTTATTTTGGTGAGTTGGGGTATGACTTCTGAAATAGAAAAAGAATCATTTGAGCAATGGCCTTTTTGACCAACCGTAAAGTCAATTTTCTCCTGTGGCAATAAATTATTCATTGCAAGAGAAACCACATTTATTTCAGCAGTAGAAAAACACCACTATTTATTTCCAGGGTGAAAGTGACCACAGAAGTGGAATAAATGTGTATATTTGAAACTTCCTTACTATCAATTTGCTTCCTGCCCATGGTGCAGAAGAGAAGGATGAGTAGTTCCAATAATTACCTGCTGAGAGCAGGCAATGCAGATTCACGTGGGGCCCCATCACATTGATGCCCCTGGCATCAGTGCACTCCTTGGACCACAGTTTAAAGTCGTTCAAAATTTCAGACCAAAGAACCTCCTCCCGTCTAGTCACTCCTCATCTCTTCCTTGCTTCCATTGGCCAACAGAGTTTCTTCTGCTTTTCTGCCAGATTTGAGACTTGTCATTATCAATCCTCAAAATTTTTTTCACTACAAGGCATTTTATTGGGGATATCAACACATTTCTACTCTTTCAGAGCCTGCCATGATTTTCAGCCTCCTTTGGAAAACCTGTTGTCAGTAAGACAAAATAGAGATGGAAGGGGAACCTCTATCTACTAGATACAAGGCTACAGAAGATAACCAAGGACTTTCACTTCTGTTTTGTTGTGTAATCCTATGCATGTTTTGGCCATCCTCCAAAAGCAAAGTGAAGTAACATGATTAGTCTTTTTTTTTTTTTTTTTTTTTTGACAGGCAGAGTGGACAGTGAGAGAGAGAGACAGAGAGAAAGGTCCTCCTTTTGCCGTTGGTTCACCCTCCAATGGCCGCCGCGGCCGGCGCGCTGCGGCTGGCGCACTGCGCTGATCCGATGGCAGGAGCCAGGAGCCAGGTGCTTTTTCCTGGTCTCCCATGGGGTGCAGGGCCCAAGCACCTGGGCCATCCTCCACTGCACTCCCTGGCCACAGCAGAGAGCTGGCCTGGAAGAGGGGCAACTGGGACAGAATCTGGCGCCCCGACCGGGACTAGAACCCGGTGTGCCTGCGCCGCAAGGCGGAGGATTAGCCTAGTGAGCCGCGGCGCCGGCCCATGATTAGTCTTTTAATCATGGAAAGTTCACATAATGAAAAAACTAGGCATGGATTTAAAAAAAATTGTTGCATCAAAATAAACATCTTTTTCCCAAAATGTATTGAAGTCCCCTCCTAGTGTCAGAGAAAAAAGTAAAAAGAAGAAGGGGAAGAGGGGGATACAAAACCATATAGGTGAAACCCAGAACTTTCTCTCTCTCTCCCTCTCTCTCTCTCTCTCTCTCACACACACACACACACACACACACACACACACACTCTTCTGAAGAAAGTCAGAATCAGAAAAAAAAATATTAAGGATATTTCCTGTGATGTTCTTACAGTGCTATTTCCATCTTGTGGCCGTTCAGGAAATTGCTCCTGGGGACTTTAAAAACTGTTGTGATTTGGCAACCAACAATTAAAATGTCCTTGACCCACACCTCAAATGTGCCCTCCTAATCAGGATTTCCCCATCCTGAACATACTGTCTCTCAACTTCCTTCCTTTCAGGGTCTGATGGAACACAGAAACCCCCTACACATGTAGGAATTATGAAAAATAATGCATGCTCTATTAATGCACTGAGTTGAAGATGCCATTGCTACAAGCGTTTTTCCTCTTTTCCCATAGATCACTATTTTCTTGGGGTAATGAAAAGCTGCCAAAATGTCAAACAGAATGGCCCTTGATGACTGCTCTGTCTTCTCCATGGGAACAGGAAGCTCACTGTACTAACCTCTTTTTGGACCAACAAGAAGTTCCTCTTTCCCCTCTTTTCTCCTTTCCATTCCTTATGGCATTAGATGCTTAAGGGTTGGTAGTTTGGGAAGACAATCATTTGGCATGCAGGAAGTATGGAAAGATCATGAGTGGTCACGAGTAGGAGGATGTTAGACTCTTAACATTGTCTAAATTTCAAAGCATCCTATTTGGTATAGACACCACTTTGATAAACAAGGGAACCAAGACTATGGAAAAACAGTCACAGGGTTAGGAAAATGACTTTAAAATGTTGATTCTTTTTAAAAGGAAAAAAAGAATCTTGCCTGCTTTCCTTCTGTATCTTTTTTTAAAATTTCAGGATGGAGACCTGCATATGGAATTTACAACATGTGGGTATCTCTTTTTGGAGCTGTTCTGTGCTGTGCAGTCATGTTTGTCATCAACTGGTGGGCAGCTGTCATCACCTATGTCATTGAGTTCTTCCTCTATATCTATGTGACTTATAAGAAGCCAGGTAAGATAAGGACTGTATAGGACAGAATTTCCAAATCTCTTTTTACCCATTCATTAAACATTTATTGGGCAACTTTTATGTGCATAGGTGTGTCATAGATGTTAACAATATAAGAATAATAACAGTAAACCTTATTGAGCACCTAGTACATGCCATGAGTTCATTCAATCCTCACAATAATGCCATATGTTAAGTAATGCTAGTCCCACTTTACAGATGAATAAACTGGGGTTCAAAGTGTTGACCACTTGCCACAGTGATGTGATAAAACTAACATTTTAACCAGAGGTGTATGATGAAACCCCATAAGCTTTCTATGGCATCACCTTCTGCCTCTAATATCCTGGTAAATGAGATATAGTTCCTGTCCTCAAGGAGTTTACAGCCACAAACTTAGGGAATGAATCGTAATGCAATATAGCAGGTAGCATAAGAAGAGTAATACCAAAATACTGAGAAAAGGGGAATGATTAACTTTGACTAGAGTCATCCAAGGAAACATTCCCAGTTTATGGCTTGTGTTTCCATGATTAAGCTCTTAGTAAGCACTTAATGAATATTTATTGAGTGAACACTTAACCTAGGCTTTTAAAAAAAGATTTATTTATTTATTTTGAGAGGCAGAGATACAGAGAGAGAGAGAGAGAGAATCTTCCATCCAATGGTTCACTCCCTAGATGGCCGCATTGGCCAGCACTGGGCTGGGCTGAAGAGCCAAGAGCTTAATCTGGGTCTCCTACATGGGTAGCAGGGGCCCAAACACTGGGGCCATCTTCAGCTACTTTCCTCAGTCATTAACAGGGAGCTGGATTGGAAGTGAAGCAGCTGGGACATAAACTGGTGCCCATAAGGGATATCACCATCCTAGGCAGTGGCTTTATCTGCTACACCACAATGCTGGCCTTGACAAATGTAAGTAATCCTATAACCACCACCATGGTCAAGACATGAAATAGCTTCACCACCCAAAAGTTCTCTGACATCCCTACATAGTCAATCTCTTTCCTCCCAACTTAGCCCCTGGCAACTGCTTTTCTGACTTTTATTTATAGGTTTGACTTGTCTAGAATATCATACAAATAGAATCATGTGGTGTATGGCCTTTGAGTGTGCCACCATTCACTTAGCATATGTTTTTACATTCATTCATGTTGTTTCCTGTGTAGTTTGTTCTTTTGTATTATTAAGTAGTATTATTCTGTTGTATGAATATATCACAAATTGTTTTCAAAAGCCAGTTGATGAAAATCTGGATTATTTCCTCTTTATAGTGATTATATATAAAGCTGCTATAACTAGTCATGCACAGGATTGTGGTTTTTTTTGTTTCTTTTGAGTACATATCTAAGAGTGATATTTCAGTTTATACAGCAAGTATATATTTGTAACTTTATAAGAAACTGCCAAATTATTTTCCGTTGTAGTAATGGAACTCCTACCAGCAATGAATGAGTGCTGGTTGCTCCACAGCCTTGTCAACATGTAGAATTATCCGTTGATATTTTAAAAACCATTCTAATAGATGTGTAGTCCCATCTTATTGTGGTTTAATTTGCATTTCCCCATGCTTTTGAACATATCAGTCATCAAAATACCTTCTTTGGTCAGGTATTTAAATATTTCCTCATTTTTTTTTAGTTGTTCTTTGAATTGTGTGGCTCTTTAGTAGAGAACTCTTTGTGAGAGTTCTTTATATATTCTAGATGTAAATTCTTTAGCAGTATGTGTTTTGTAAATATTTTCTCCAGGTTTGTGGCTTCTCTTTGTATTTTCTTTATAGTTTGTTTTGAAGAATAGAAGTTCCTAATTTATTAATTTACATTGAGTCTATCTTTTTTTCTCTTATGATTTAGAATTTTGTATATGATCTAAGATATCTTTCCCTGTGTCACTGGGAAACATATTTGAATTTGTTGTCCATTTGGGGTTAATTTTTGTATATGGTATATAAAACATGGTTCAAGATTAATTTAAATCATACAAGTATCCAATTGAACGGTAGGTTTTTTTGTTTGTTTTTTTGTTTTTGGTTTTGTTTTGTTTTTTGACAGGCAGAGTGGAGAGTGAGAGAGAGAGACAGAAAGAAAGGTCTTCCTTTACCGTTGGTTCACCCTCCAATGGCCGCCGCGGCCAGCGCGCTGTTGCCAGCGCACCGCGCTGATCCAAAGGCAGGAGCCAGGTACTTATCCTGGTCTCCCATGGGGTGCAGGGCCCTCCAAAGGCAGGAGCCAGGTACTTATCTTGGTCTCCCATGGGGTGCAGGGCCCAAGCACTTGGGCCATCCTCCACTGCCTTCCTGGGCCACAGCAGAAAGCTGACCTGGAAGAGGGGCAACCGGGACAGAGTCCGGCGCCCCAACCGGGACTAGAACCCCGAGTGCCGGCGCCATAGGCAGAGGATTAGCCTATTGAGCCGCAGCGCCGGCCAAATGGTACAGTTTTCATTCCTTTAAACTCTAGTGAATAGTACATAAACAGTACTAATATTTTCTTTTTTTAAGGTTTATTTATTTACTTGAAAGTAAAGTTACACAGAGAGAAAAGTAGAGGCAGAAAGAGAGAGGTCTTCCATCCACTGGTTCACTCCCCAATGGGCTGCAATGGCCAGAGCTGCTCTGATCCAAAGCCAGGAGCCGGGAGTTTCTTCTGGGTCTTCCAAGTAGGTGCAGAGGCCCAAGGACCTGGGCCATCTTCTACTGCTTTCCCAGGCCATAGCAGAGAGCTAGACTAGAAGTGGAGCAGCTGAGACTTCAACTGGCACCCATATGGGATGCTGGGACTGCAGGCAGCGGCTTTACCTGCTATGCCACAGTGCTGGCCCCTGATATTTTCTTTATTTCCAGAAAATCATTTTCAAACCCCTTCCTTCACTCTCCAGAGCAAGGCTGGGGAGAACAGTTCCTGTCTGTCATCTGGGGTGGAACTGTGTGTTCCTATCAGGGACTTCTCATAAAACTTAAAGAGGGCCAGGGCTGGGGCTGGTAAAGCCGCCGCCTGCAGTGCTGGCATCCCATATGGCCACTGGATCGAGTCCCAGCTGCTCCACTTCTGATCCAGCTTTTTGCTATGGCCTGGGAAAGCAGTGGAAGATGGCCCAAGCTCTTGAGCCCTTGCACCCACGTAGGAGACCCAGAAGAAGTTCCTGACTCCTGGCTTCAGATTGGAGCAGCTCCAGCTGTTGTGGTCAGTTGGGGAGTGAACCAGCAGATAAAAGATCTCTCTCTCTCTCTCTCTCTCTCTCTGACTCTCCTCTCTCTCTCTGTGTAACTCCAACTTTCAAATAAATAAATACATCTTTAAAAAAAAGCTTAGAGGACCTATTCAATATTTAAATTTGTAAAGAAAACCTAAAATAATAAATGATAGTGCTGACCTCCCTTATTATAAGGTTAGATTCTAAAAAAAGTTAAATTATAAATATTCTTGATAAGAAAGCTCAACCCTCTTTGTGGACATCTAGAACTAAAAATTCCTGAGCTAGTCAGTTTTACTGTTCAAAATATAAAGATCATGGCACACCGTGCATATGGAAATACCTCTTTTCTTTTTGATTTAAGAATTTTTGAAGATCGCTTGAACGTAACTCAGATGCTGACCATTTTCTCACATCCCTCTGGCTATAATGTGCCTCTTCCACCAAGCAAGGGTTTCTGGAACTGCAACTTTAGAGGAGCCCCAGCTGAAAGGAAGTCTCTCTACTAAAGATCCACACAATTCAAGAAAAACAAAATGCTCTTTCTAGGAAATATTACATTATATTTTCTCTAATTGCGGCGTTCATCACTGCCAGCATAGCCCAGGAAAATTATAGAAGGGAACGGTTTGTGAAAGTTATTCATGGTATACAGACAAAAGGTCAATGCTTTTTATGCCAATTTTCTCCTTTGTCCACAGATGTAAACTGGGGCTCCTCCACTCAGGCGCTTTCCTACGTTAGTGCTTTAGACAATGCTCTAGAATTAACCACAGTGGAAGATCATGTGAAAAATTTCAGGTAAAATTCGTTTCTCAGGCATCCTGATGTTGCACATGAGAAGTGCCTTTCCTGTATGGGAGATGAGAGCACAGAAGTAGCAATAAGCTTTATAGGTATACTGTAAAAATGAGCAGTCATGTGAAACTGCTATGTTTTCATGACCACACTTCCTGTGTGTGAGTGCTTCTCTCCTTCCTCTCTGAGCAATGCTCGCTTTAAACCATAGCCCCTCATAGGAACAGGGGTTACCTGCCATGTGTAGAGATAGAGAGGTGACCCAAGTGATGTGATTTCAGAGAGATGTCGCCAAATACACACATGTTAATCACTGGAATCATGTCCATTGACCTTAAGGCTTTACAGCTTACCAGATTTTTAAGAGAAGTAACTTGTGTTTAGCTCTTCCCTAATTATCTCTTATTTTGAATGGAACCTCAAAACACAAGCTTACTAGGAGGATAAGACTAAGAAGCATGAAAGTACTGGTCAGAGAAGAAAAGGTTGTATTCAGATTTGGGATAGGGTGGTGTCCAGAGAGGGTGGGAGAGGAAACACAAGACTACCTTTCCCTTTCTTCAAATTCTGTTGTGAGTAATTAAATTTAGAATACAAAGACAGCAAGAGGGACAAGCGGGGTGATTCGAGAACTCTGGTGGGAAACCCAGGAAATAATCAGGGAAGAGGTTGTGCCACCTGTCAAGCCTTCTGTATCTGCCATTTCTTTGGGTTAATTCTGGGTACACAAGCTTTTTGTGATGTCCAGTTCTCACATCCACCTCTTCTCCACTTCCAGACCCCAGTGCATTGTCTTAACAGGGGGACCCATGACCAGACCTGCTCTCTTGGACATTACATACGCCTTTACCAAGAACAGTGGCCTTTGCATCTGTTGTGAAGTCTTTGTGGTAAGAGCCACTTCATCCAAGGGAAATGCTTTTTTTCCTTTCTGCTCACTTTGGGTTATTTTGAGTGAGCAGAGAAGATACATGAAGAAAAACAAGCAAATGGCTAAAGAGTTTGAGCAAAAGACTTCTTCTTTGATTCATACAATAAGGACTAGCAAAGGCCCACGATCTAGAATTTAAATGGGTGGATGAAATGTATTTCCAATTTCATAGGAGACCAACTTAAAGTGATAAATATTTCCAAATGATGGCCTTTGAATCAAGAAAAAGAGACTGACTCAGAAATAAAATAAAAGCATTGGGCTGCTAATGGTCCACAGTAACATTAAAGGATGGAATGAGCTGGATTAAGCATTATTATGGAGATTAACTGATAATGAGAGAAGCAGACAAAAAGGCCCTAAGTTACAGCACATAGAATTTAGATTAAATATTTGTATAAACCTGATAGCACTAGAAATATCCAGGGAATTAAACCAACTTTTCTATGTCTTTGGTAAACCTAGAGCTGAACGAATTCCTTTTTGTTCACGAAATATACTGTAGATTAATAATACTTTATTGATGATTTTTCTAGGAAATATTACAAGTAGGTGCTAAAAATTTACGTATAATTATTAACCAATTTCTTAAGTGGAGAGAAAACATAAAAGTTAAGATAAAATATTAAGTACAAGTTCTACAAACTAGCCTACCATTATTGTATTCCTATAATTCATTCTCTCTCTCTCTAACACACATACACACACACCATTCAAAAAATCCTTATCTATCAATGTATATTTGATGATATTTAAATACTATTCTTCAAAGTATTTTCCTAGTTTTTCTTATTCACTCCACACAACAGCCTGATGAGCAAGAGAGGAAAAAAAGCCCTGTTCTCATTTTACTGATTGAGAATTGAGATTCACGAAATTTGCATTATCACTAGATCACACAATGCGCCAGAATGTCAGTTCAGGGCACTTGGGAATGCTCTGTGTTACGCCATGAGGAAAATGCCTGAAAAGACCTGTATCCATTATTAGCATCAGCCACCACTATTTAAATTTCTGTACTGGCTGAGGAATAGGGTTATCAGGGAGTTGTGTGACTCAGGCCAGTCAACTCTGCCTTGAGGCAGGGGGCTAATTTACCACATTTCATCATGACCAACACTGATATTCTAAATGCTGTATGAAGCAAGTTGGTTATATTCTCTCTCCTTTCGATGCTTATATGATAGTAACTCAAACAATATAACTCAATGCAATTATCCAGGAGTGGGGGTGTGGGGAATCCTACTTAATACATAAGATTGACAGGGTAAGTAATGGCCAACTGAGACTCCAAAGGATTTTAAAAAATCTTATCAAGCACCCTGCTCTCTTATTATCAACTTTGGTGCCCTGGATTAGTGGATTTCATTTTGGCCAATATAATATAGAAGCCAGTTTTGATGGGATAAGCAGTTTGGGGTGTTTCTCTTCTCCAGCAATTTAGAGAAAACTCAGTTTAACAGGCAATAAAATATCTTCAGGACTGGAGAAATGAACTGGGAGTATAAACAGTCATATATTAGTAAGGAAGTCTACAGGGACAAGATATAGTGCTTTTAATTAACCCTTTGCTACTTAACTATAATAAAGGAGTATAATTCCAAATTATCGTTTCATTTGAAGTAGGTACCTAAGTCTGTGCTTCCAAAGGCGCTGGTTGTTTGACATGTATGCTGGACCACAGTGTACAGCACTGTGCTGGTTTCTTCATGTAGACCCTAAGTCTTGTTCCCAGGTGCCAAGGTTCTCCTGGGAACAGAAAGTATTTACTGGATCAGTTAATGACTTTGCAATTAATTACTTTCTTTGAGCTGCTGGGGTTTCAGATGCTGTTAGCATTTCTAGGCTTTTAGGCTCAGTTGTCAGTCATCTTTGCAAAGAAACAGATGGAAAGGGATGTGGGGAGAGTCAGCACTCCACTAGAATCTTTTATCCAAAAGCACAAGTAGTTGATGGTTAGGCCAACTTTGTGGAAAATGTTAAATAATAATGGTGACAAGACAACAACAATTTTCAGAAATGTATTATTTTTTCACCTACAGAAGGCAGATGAGAGAGAATGAGAGTTCCCCCTTCCACTCACTTACTCCCCAAATGTCCACAACAATCAGGGCTAAGCCAGGCTGATGTCAGGAGCCCCGAACTCCATTGAGGTCTCCCTTGTAGATGGCAGGAACCCAATTACTGGGCCATCATCTGCTGTCTCCCAGGATGTATTCACAGAAAGTTAGATTAGAAGCAGAAAAGCCAGAACTCAAACTGGCATATCAAACTGTGATATGGAATACAGACATCTCTAGCCATGGCTTAGTCCACTGTGTCACAATGCCTACCCCAACAATGACAATTTTGTTTACAACTATAGGAAGCTGGTGCTCAGACTTTTGAAACTATTCAGTTTGAGTCACTGTTTTGTCACCTGTTAGATGTGAATCCTTTGGGTGCATAATTTTGTTTCTCTGTGCCTCAATTTTCTACTATAAAATGAAAATCAAAACAATACCTATGTTACAAGTTGCTGTGAGAATCACATAAGATAAACTTCCAAGTACTCAATTTGGTAGCTATTAAATAATAAATTCTCACTTAATTTGAGTTGTTATTACTGATTTTGTTGTAATTATCATTATTTTTGATGTGCCATAGTTGTCATTTTCATTCCAGAAAAACAGTACTTTCAACTAAAGCATCCTCTTAGAAAAACCAGCTTCAAACACTGGATTTTGAATTTTTTAGGCATCTAGCATTTTGATCATGATTGAGCAGTGAGATATGTACCATGTACTCAAACTGGATTAATCACAGTACTCTGGCTTTCTGCTACCTGCATCTGGTGGCCTTCAGCTACTGAAGTGTGTGCTTGGAGTCCTGTTAGGCTACCAGAAAGGAACAAGACCTGGAATTCATTGGAATTTTGATATTGATAGGTAGATTAAAAACATTTGGCTCCAGCTGCCATTTCCTGCAACCAAAGCAGTTTTGAAGGGCCAGAGGCCATGGCCCCAGAAGCCATGGAAATTTGAAATAAGAGAACTATACTTTCTGCTGGACCTCAAACACACATTATGGCCATTTACCTATCCAAGTAGCTCTTACTCTCACTCATCCAAATTGTACCTCCCTTTTCTTCCTTGTATCCTATTCATCCTGCATATTTCAGATAAAGGGACAATTATTGAGACAAATTTGGGGGGTCCTTTTCAGAAATCCAGCTTCATAAAGTTTTAAAATATTGGCTGTTCTTCTTTGAATTACCATATAGTAAACTAATAACATACTTCTATCTCAAGAGGCTCTAAGTAATTTTGTTCTTTGAGTCTTGTTCCTATCACCATAGAAAAAAGAAGGAATAGGACTTCACCTTCTAGTATTCCTCATATTTCCGAGCTTACCTAAGTTAAGTAGGTTCCATGAAAAGCAAGTACTGAGTCAGGAGCTGCAAATTTTAACCTTCACTAGTTCCATCCTAGATATTATGACATAAATAAGCACTGACTTTCTTTATCAATTAGTTTTCTCACTTTAAATCACAGTAGATGAAGAGATAATTAATCCAATAATTGAAGATAACTTAGTTTTAATTTATGTACCCTTAATTCTCTAGGTATACCATGTTAGTTATAAAAGTCCAGTGGTGTCAGCTCACACTTAACTTTCCTATGTGAGGAGGCATCATACTTCAGCAGTCCCTCATCCACGTACTTCTCAGGCTTGCATTTAAAGGCAGAGTATTTTTTATTATTGTTATTATTAAAACAAATAAAAACATATACTTTTCAAGAACAAAAGTTGATTCAATTGATCTTGGATTTAGAATGTAAGTCAGATGAAGTCATTATTGCCCTAAAATATGCCACTTCCTTATTTTCTAAATGTTGTTTGTCTTAAAATTTGCAAAAGGCTTTCTATTTTCATTTTAAGACAATAAGAAAAATATTTGGTTGAATCATGAAATTTATATCCTTTAAGAACAATACTGTTGAATATGGGCAATTTCATGTGAAATTGAGTGAGACCCATATTCTACCTCTCCTAGTTAAATTAACAGCTATTAGCATATTTGTCATAAATTCTCCCACTCACTTTTTAAATGAAATCAAAAGTTCAGGTCAAGCTGAAGCCCCTTCAGTGCCATTCCAGACCCATGGTTTTCTGACTGCAGAGGTCCTGTTATCTAAAGCTTATGTATTCTTAGCATCATTTCACACATGCATACCAAGATGTGTACCTATTTGGTTCCTGTTTTTCCCATTCTTTGACATTACCTTAAACTTTGTCCTCTCTTCATTGTGAAAGAGAAAAGGGAGCTTTTGGTCAGCTTCCTCACACAGATTCCCCTCCTAACAAAATGCCAACTTACCTTTCTCTCCTGTTCTGAAATTTTATTAAATACCTTAATAAAGTCTAAATCTCTCTCTTTCTCTCAGAGAAGATCTCAAGAAAATTCAGAGCATACAACCATCACCTAACTCCATGCATAATGGAGAGCTGCCCAAGTCCAAATACTCCAGAGAAAACTATAATTCTCATTTTTTCTTCTATTGCCCTCTTCTTAATTCCACCTTTCACTCCCCCCAATAAAAAATGTGTGCTTTTTAGATGCATCTATTCTCCTTTTGTCAGCAAGTCTATGTCATGATGTTAATAAAATGGTGACATGACCAAAGACAGAAAGAATGAAATGACCTATGAATGGGCACCAGGATGCAGGGTGAGATAAAATATGGATCAAATCAGATAGGGAAAAAAAAAACTCCTTTCCACATTTCCAACCAAAGCAGCAATGAACACAAAGACAAGTAAGACTCCCAGTGTTTTAAAAAATAAAAGCTGGAAAGAATATTGCACTTGGTCCAAATTCTTCTGTTTGATCCTAATGAGGTCAGAACTTCTTTGCAAAATCCCTTGTCACGATATTCACTTATTTGAAGCAGTTAACATTAGCTTCTCCAGACTAAACAATCAGAAATTCTTTACTGATTTCTCAATCACTGTCCAAGTTATACTATATATAAGATTTTTAAATCTTCTTTGCTCAAATCCAGAATTAATTTATGTACTCCTATTTTAGTTCTCAACTGAAGCTAGCTTCTAAAATATTGTAACTGGGTGATAAAGTTCATTTTTGTGATTATGACATTCTTGAATGTTGGGTAATGGTATTTCATGGTATCTTTTCTCTTTGTTCGTTTTCACTATCCTTCCTACATTTGCACTGAAGGCTAGCCTTACATTAATAAATGCATGATAAAGCTATTATAATTGCTTTTAAGAAAAAAGTTTCTATATGAAATGTTTTTGTTACTTCTCAATATGGTAAATTTAAGCATTAAAGGAAATCTCTTTCTCATTAATGTTTAGTATGCATCTTTGTAATGCTAAAAGATATACATTTGATTGTATTTATTTAAATAAATGCCATTTTCTGCAAGGCTCATGGTCATTGGCTAGAACCCAATATACTGATGGTCCAACAACTTAGTTGTTGTTTATTCTTCATCCAACAACTGTCAATACCATTGAGCTTCCTTTAACAGACTACCCCTTCTTTCCCTTGCAGTTGACGGAGTCTAGAATGAACCAATGGTTCAAAATGCACTGACACACTGGAAAACTGAGCTAGCTTTGATCTTTCTTTCTTTCGTTCATGTCTTCTGTTCATGTCTTCCCTGATTCTCAGCCTCTTCTTTCTTCATTGAAGGTTTTTTTTTTTTTTTTTAATGACAGGCAGAGTTAGACAGTGAGTGAGAGAGAGACAGAGAGAAAGGTCTTCCTTTTGCCGTTGGTTCACCCCCTAAGTGGCAACTACGGCTGGCGCGTTGCGCCGATTCGAAGCCAGGAGCCAGGTGCTTCCTCATGGTCTCCCATGTGAGTGCAGGGCCCAAGGACCTGGGCCATCCTCCATTGCACTTCCAGGCCACAGCAGAGAGCTGGACTGGAAGAGGAGCAACCGGGACAGAATCTGGCACCCCAACCAGGACTAGAACCCGTGGTGCCAGCACTGCAGGCGGAGGATTAGCCTAGTGAGCCACGGCACCGGCGGATGTTTGCTTTTAATTTTAAAAGTTGGCAGGTGTAGAAAATAAACTGTAAAAATAACCATATAAAGAATTTGATTCAATCTAAATAGAATATTAAAATGAAAGGGACCCCAGAGCTCATCTACTGTTCTGCAATGTAAATATAGTTTGTGCCACATAGGTAATTTAAAATTTGCTAGTCACAAGGTAAAACGGAAATAAGAAATAGGTAAAGTCATTTTAAATAATGTATTTTATCTAACCCAATATATCCAAAATATTATTTCAATATTCAATCAATATAGAAACATTGAGATATTTCATACCTTTTTGGTACTGAGGCTTCAAAATCCAGTGTATATATTACACTTCTATCACATCTCAGAATGAACTAGCCACATTTCAAGTGCTCAATAGCAACTCTGGACAAAGGCTATCATACTGAGCAGTGATGACTCAGGCAATCAACTTATTTTTATAAATGTAGGGCATACATCAAGACAGGACAAATGACACACCCAGAATAATACCTAGTCAGTGCCATAGCAATATCTAAACCCAGGACCCTGACTCTGAGTTCACTCTTCTTGTAGCTCTCTTATAGAACAAACGCAGTAATAGAAATAGGCCTGGGTCTTCAATGAGATTGTGAGCACTCATTCAAAATAAGAAAAATCATGCTTGAATGAGCACAACTATTTTTCAGACTTTGTACTAAGTACTGTATTAATACTATTTCAAACAGCATTTCAGGATAGACAGTGCCTCCTTGCTTCATAGCTCCATAAAAATGACTCAGGATGGCCAGAGTTCATTTTTACACAGCTGTGTTTGACTGTAAGCTTGGGTATTTTTTCATGTATCCCAATGCCCTTTCTCTCCAGCCTAAGACCCTCCAAACTGTGGCTTCCTGTGTGGTCTCAGGACCAGCAGCCTCCATGTCATCTGGGAACTTGTTAGAAATGCAGTATGTTGGCCTAAGATGACTTACATGAAATCTATGCATTGAAATAATTACCAGGGGGAAAAAGTAGAATTTTTACCCTGTTAGACACATGGTAGATGATCATAAATAACTTTCTTCAGATTTTTGTTTATTATTTTGAGGCTGACGTTATGGTGTAGTGGGTTAAGCTGCTGCCTGTGATGCCAGCATCCCATATAAGCGACTGTTCGTGACCCAGGCTGCTCTGCTTCTGACCCAGCCCCCTGCTAATGTGCCTAGGAAAGCAGTGGAAGGTGGCCCAAGTGCTTGGGCCCCTGTAGCCATGTGGGAGACCTGGAAGAAGCTTCAGGCTCCTGGCTTTGGCCTCGCACAGACCTGGCCTTTGGGGACTTGGGGAGTGAACCAACAGGTGGAAGATTCTCTCTCTCTCTCTCTCTCTCGCTGTCGCTCTCGCTCTTTCTCTCTCTGTCTCTCTGTCTCCCTCTGTGTGTGTCTCTATCAATCTATCTACCTGTGTGTCTCCCTCTCTCTCTCTGTAACTCTGCCTTTCAAATAAATAACAATAAATTCTTAAAAATTGTTTAAATTTATTTTCACTTGAGAGAGAGAGAGAAAAAAAAAAGAAATTGAGATAGAGAGAGAGTGCACGCATGCACGCACACCCATTTCCTGGTTCATTTCCCCAAATGCCTGCAACAGCCAGCACAAGGCAGGACTAAGCTGGGAGCCAGGAGCCCATTCCAGGTCATAGTGGCAGGAAACTAAACACTTGAGCCATCATCTCTGTCTTTCAAGGTCTGCATTTTTTGAGAAGATTTTATTTATTTGAAAGGTAAAGTAACAGAGAAGGAGAGTGGGTGAGAAAGAAAGATTTTTCATCTCCTGGTTCACTCCCCAGATGACAACAACAGCTGGAGCTTGTCCATGCCAAAGCCAGGGCCCAGAATTCCATTTGGGTCTCCCACGTGGGTGGCAAGGCCCAAGCACTTGGGCCATCATCTGCTGCCTTCCCCAGGAACCTGGATTGGAAGCAGTGCAAGCAGTCCTGGAACCAGATCTCTCCTAACCAGCTGTGCCACAATGCCAACCCCTCAGGATCTGTGTTAGCATCTAGAGTCTGCAGGTGAAGCCAGGTGTAGAACCCAAGTAATATCAAATGGATTAAGGCATCTTAACCAGTGGCTTAACTGCTAGGCCAAATGCCTACCCCTAGAAATACCTTTTGAATTGAATTTTGATAGGAAAGGGGGGGAACATTAGAACTTTTCATTAAAAATTAGTTTCCAGACCCAAATCTTGAAATTATAAAATTCTTTATCTATCATCACAATAAGTGGCTCCTTTTAATGTCATAGGTATGTGAATTTCTGTTTCCACCAAATGTATTGAGTGAAAAGGAAATGCTAATTTGAGTAGAAGTGTGTCACCATTATGCAAGGAAGAGTGCTTCAATGGTATTCTGACCACACAAAAAAGCAATGTATCAACCTAATAGAATTGTCAAGATATGCAGTTCATTGCAGGATTCACGACTCACCAAATTCTAGCTCCCAAGAACTGTGTTTATTTCTTAAAAATGGGCTCTACCTGAGATGTCTTTGGTGAGAAAGTGGCTCTTCCTGTTTAGGCAAAGGTTGATTGTGTATTTACCCTTAGTCTCTTCAATCACATTTTCAGTACTTTTCTCACGTGCCACAATGCCCTCAGTGCTTCCTTTCAGTCAGCATAAGAGAGCTCATTAGCCAGGTGTTAATAAATCTAGACATTTGGGGTGGAAAATGAATAATCTGAGCAACACAATTCCTACCCCACAAAAGGTCAAATCAGCCAGAACCCTGGTTAGTGAGGTATTTTTCCCTCTCTCCCATTTCTTAACTCAATAGGGCATTGCTAGCTATTTTTGTGCTTTAGAAAACAACAGCAGTGTGATGTATAATAGCAGCACTTCTAACCAATATTTCATTGTGTCGTATAGGGACCACGCAAGCTGTGTGTTAAGGAGATGAACAGTGGCATGGCGAAAAAACAGGCCTGGCTTATAAAGAACAAAATCAAGGCTTTTTATGCTGCAGTGGCAGCAGATTGTTTCAGGGATGGTGTCCGAAGTCTCCTTCAGGTAAGGATGGCCTTGAAGGAATGCACAGAGAGGCAACAGAAATTAGCATTCCATGTTAATGAAGCTCCCAGAGTGAATGGCTAAGGCTTGGCAACTCACATCAGAGATCAGTACAGATGGTTAGGAAATTCACTTTTAATTCCTGGGGACAGGCAAAGCTAGAACAAAAGCAGCAAGGTTCTATCACTGTGAACTATGAATGATATGCTGGAAATGGAAAATCAGGTTGCCTTTGGCCACCAACGTACATTCTGCCCGTACTTATTGAAATGCAAATTTGTTCTGGTGGTTGACAATATTCAGGATCCTATTAAAACTTCAAACTATTTTTGCATCTCATACTGCAGATAGCAAAGCTCAAGTTAGGCATACTTTCCCTTTTTTCTTTCGCAAATGGTATAAGGGCGGATGCCAGAGTCAACTAAATAAGTGCATGGTAATCTAGGCGTAAAATCTTCCTATCCTCCTGAGTTATTTCCAGAATGTTGAATAAAACGTAGGAATTTCTACTGCTTAATGTTAAGTCCACAGTTCTCCATTGTTTCTCCCTTATTCTTTCCCTTTTTCCTCTTTACCATTCTACAGGAGATAAATAAAATCTTTCTCTAGTTCCCATCTCTATAGAGTGTCAGAGAATCCTTAAAACAATGTAGCTACACAAGCGAAGAAACAATTTCTGAAAGACCTACTAACCACATGCAGCCTCTTTTCATTTTATTCATTTATTAAACCATGGAAATAGGTATTAATTACAAAATACTGACTTTTCTTTCAGAAGTAGTTACCTTGCAGTAGCTCTTTGGTTTAAAATATTGTGAAAGTTACACATTTAGTATAAAATAGGAAAAATTTCAACTATGAATGAAAACATACACATAAAATAAGAGCAGGGAGAGAAGAAATAGGTATGAAAAATAATTCTTATAATTCAGAAGAAATGCTGGAAAAATTGAACATGCATAAATTCACATGAATTTCTTAAAATAAAAGTAGAGTGCAGAGGGCTCATGGAATAAGGGCAGACAGTAATATTAAACAGACGCAATGCCAGTGATAAATTTTGAATAAAACTTTCTTTCATCTAAGAAATTATAGTACAATTGACAACATTCCCAAACTTTAGTCTTGGAAAAGACTGTATATATATCCATACTACCACATATCTGCTACGGGCCAAATAATGGCTCTCAGGAACTATTCAGCCACTGTGCACCTCTAAGAACAACACCAAGTGTGTTGGAGGCAAAGGATATTTCAGGAACCTTCCATCAGTGCTTATCTCCCTCTACTTGCTACTGTTCCCTCTAAAACATCCTGCCCTGGTCATTTCCTTCACTATTCCTGTGACCCAGAATGGCCTTCTTCACTCCCACTGCTCTCTGTCAACATCTCACCAATGCCCAAGACTCAGCGCAAATGCCACCTCTCCCATGAAGTAGGGAATCCTCAGCTAGAATTCCACTTTTCATTTTTGTGCTTCTATTGCCTTTGTATTTATTTTAGAATTATTTGTGTGTATCTTGTCTCCTCTACCGGAAGGCTGCTGAGTATGCCTCACTACTCTCCCACAGCACCTAGCATTTAAACACCTTCCAATTATAAGGTGTTTGATAATATGGCCAGATTAAATTTAATTAACTGGAAGCCATTTCCTGTCATCTAATGGGGGAAACAAAACTTCTGCTATGGAAGATGGCTATTAACGATCCTGCCATGTAAGATTATTAGCTTTTAGAGACATAGTGCAGTCTCTCTTGAATAAGTAATATAAGTAGAGATTTCGGTGATCCTTAGATATAAGAATTTTCCAAACATGGATTTTATTACTAATGGCATTGTGGATATAACAGGTGGAAATCAGCTTTGAACCACTAAGTTACAACATGCATGCCAACAGTTAAGCTGACCCTCACTTGAATTTAAATTATTGAACCATTTTAATGAGCGTGTCAGAAGAAATGCAAATGACTGCTAATTTAGAAAAGCTACATTTCTGTCATCTAAAATCCATTTATGGCTGAGATGATTTAGAACTAATCTTTCTATTTTATGCTTGGGTACGGGCATGAAGGACATGCACTAAAATGTAATCTAATCTTCAGAATCTTCAGAACATTACTTCAGTGCTCTTTGAACATTAGTTTTCATTTGCAGTGCTGGTTTCCTGGTGCAGTAAGAATTGCCCGTGTGTTTATGTCCTCTGTTTAGGCCTCGGGCTTAGGCCGAATGAAGCCAAACACTCTGGTGATTGGATATAAAAAAAAATGGAGGAAAGCTCCCTTGACAGAGATCGAGAACTACGTGGGAATCATACAGTAAGTGATGGCTTTCAAGATGCACTCTTGTTTATAAAGCACTAACCAGGGCAGTACATAACTTGTACTGCGCTTAACACTCTTGTGCCAGATCAAATTGCCTGAGAAAAGCACATTCTCCTGGTACTCTAAATTCTTCACCAAAGCAAAACAACGCTGCCAACGACAGAAGAGAAGGGAGTCAGAGTGTCAGAGAAGGCGGGGTGGGGGGCATCAGTATCAAAGGAAAAGGCAAATGTTTAAAATCACAACATGGTTAGGAGAGTAAAATCAAAGGACAGCTGGACAAGGAAGAGATTTTTCGTTCAAAACACCTGCAAACTTGGTTTGACTGATATGTCCATTTCAGTCCTTGTCTTCTGAGCACTGGGTAACACATTCAACATGCCAGAGCCAACTAGGGATCCTATATGTCAGCCGTATCTATAACCAGGTGTAACACAATCAGTTTATGCAGTGAATGTGAGTTTTAGATGGTATATCACTCAACTGCTAAACATTTGGAGATTCTTGGAAATGAGATAATGTAATAGACCTTAACAGACTAGGAAGCACCAGGCTAAAAACCTTACCATGAACTATCCCATGTATTTATCTTAAGAAATCTTTGAAATAATATTATTGTTCTTAAATTTTACAAATGGAGACAGAAACATTAAGTTTTACAAATGGAAACAAAAAATTAAGTGACATTCAGAAAACCCATAGACCTTAGTAACAGAGCTGAGATTCCGAACCAGGACAAAGTTCAAACACATGACTCCAGTGCTACACCGCCTCCAAAACTGTGCATGCATGTGTTGTGTGTGTGTGTTTCTGTGTGTATATAAATATATATTTCCAAAGTATTACCTGAGTTGGTTTCTTCTTTTAAGTAAAAGAAAATGAATTCTACACACAGAGACAGACATATTCTAGAAAATCAAGTCCTTCTAGGTTTGAAAATACTTGACCAGATAAGAGAAGCAATGTTATCCATGCCCGACAGTCATCTTTTTTGTCAACAAAAAGAAAGGAACCTGGACTCTGACTTGGCTCTGATTTCACACCACGGCATACAGAACATGCCCTGAGAGGTACTACTGCACTTAAAAGTCGATACAACTATAGGGAAGAAATCCTCACCTTTTCAAAACGATCATATGCTTCAGGCTTCTTACACCAGGCTATTTCCTCTGCCCCCAGCAATAATGAGCATCACATTTGTTCTTATTTTAGGCAGATTTATGTGATGTAATAACAAAAGCATTCTTAGCTCTATTAAAAAGAAGAATGAGAAAATAATTTTCATCTTCTCAAATTTTATGCACTACTGACCAAACAGAAATTCACTTAACAGTCTTTCTAATGTAAGGAAGCTATATATTTATTAAATGCATCATTTCCCAAACATATAAAGCCTGAATGCCATGCATTGCCAGCTGACTCCTTCTGGTTCAGTAGATGAAGGCTAAACCAGGAGGTCAAGACCAGAATTTTAGTAGGCTCAGTAAACAGCATTTAATATATTTAGAATCAAAGTCAGTTGCTAACCAGTCTTGGAGGTATGTTAGATCTGCCCTTTGTTATCCAGATTCTTCAGTGAATTTTCTTCTTCAACTTAGGGAACAAAGGAAGTAGAGGGGAGAAAAGGAAGCAAATAGAAATGCATAGATCTTCAATCAAAGACTCCATTATTGATACAGAATTATTGAGATCATCTACCAACCGCCCCACCATCCTAAACATTCTAAATATTCAAAGGGGACAAAATAACCAAATCTAGTAATACTGAACCAAGGGGATAACAACAAATTTATAATTGATCTTGGTAATAAAGTACAGTGTTACGGTGGCTCAAATTTGTGCTAGTATAAAACATAGCCACATTGGTTAGGTTAAATGACTGCTTCCAGGTTTCGGGGTGAATATAGAAGGCAGACAATCATACATCTCTATTGCATTTCCCTTTCCAATTTTTTGTTGTTTTATGAGTTACATAATTGTATAATTATTTACACAAGGATATTATTACAAGAACATAGTGATTTGCCACTTTCTTTGAATTCAAGATGTTTAATGCTTGTCTCTTCTTAAAAATGGCTTAATTAGGATCTGTATGAATTGATAATGTCTTCCTTAACAAAGGACCTCACATTTAGCAGCATAAACAACACAGCTTTATCATCTTACAGTTCTGCAGGTTAGAAAAGTAACACACATCTACTGTGCTAAAAGTCAAGGTGTGGGCCAGGCCATATTCCCTTCAGGAAGCTCTAGGACAAATTCCCTAACTTGCTTTCTCTAGAAGCTGCCCACATGTAAGCTTTGCTCACAACACCCTTCTCAATCTTGAAAGCCATCAACAGTGAGTCAAGTTCTTCTCACATCCCGTTACTTTGCCCTCCTCTCCTGCCTCTGAATTTCACTTTTAAGGATGCTTGTGATTACAAAGTCCATCCCAAAGACCTTAAGCTAATCACATTTCAGAGTCACTCTTACATGTAAAAGACATATTCACAGGGTCTAGAGATTGGACATCTTTGAGGATCTATTACTCAACCCAACATGGTATCTAGATTTTTTGTGGAACACATTGTCTATGTTTTATAATCAACAATTGGAAACAAGATTTTTATATGAGTAATTTACTTTGTGGCAACTTATACTAGAATGGATCTGTTTTGTTAAGTGAACGTAACTTATGTAATTTATGTTTGAATTTTGAGTGGATATTGACATTACACTGAGCTTATTTATGTAATTATCAGATAATTCAGGTTCACTTTGGCCCTCAGAAACTTGTTTTCATATGGTAAGGATAATGGCAAACTGTATTTTTTCTAGGAGGAGAGGGTGGTCTAATCCTAAGGGGTTCTAGATTTCAGGCCCCAGGAAGACTGAGCCAAGAAACTCCTAAGAAAAAAATTTTGCTTCATTTTTATTTATTTATTTGAGAGGCAAGGAGATAGAGAGTGGGGAAGGTGAGAGGGAGAGAGAGAGACATGTTCCCATCTCTTGGTTTACTCCCAAAATGTTCCCAATAGCCAAAGGCTAAAGATAAAGGCAAAGCAAGTAGCCAAGAACTCAATCTAGGTCTCTCACACATGGGTAGCAGGGACTCAACTAATTCAGTCATCACTGCTGCTTCCCAGGGCCCACACCAACAAGAACCTGGAGTCAGGAACCTTAGCTGGACTTTGAACCCAGACATTCTAATATAGGATGCAGGCATCTTAACTTGTAGGCCAAACATCCACCCAGGAAAAAAGTGTCCATGACTGAAATTATGAATTGGCTTTCTTCTATATTTATTACCAGAAAAATGTGCTACAGCAGCAGAAATAAAAGAGAGCTTTTATTTCTCTTCTACATAATCTAATTCCAATGAACTGGATATAGAGAAGTTACACGAGCCATTTTCAACTACACAAGTTGCCAGGAAAAAGCATTGCTCCAAACGACCTGTCCAAATTTCTGATATAAATTGGAGACATTTTTAACCATGAGCTTTACATCAGAAATGTCATAGAAGGAACCTTCCTCATGGGCATTAGAAGATAGATAATATTTTCAAAGGATCTTTGCATCCTGTAAACTCTCTGTTCTAAATATGCTGGTGATTATTTTACTTACTTTACAAAAACAACTCAGTTATTTAAAATTATGTCACAGGCCCTTAATCAGGGTTCTAATTGATAGTATTATCTGAAAAAAAAAATTGGCTATGTGGAGTGAAGGATTTTATTACTTCTGCCCAAAACATATTTTTAAAAGGGATACAAGGGAACAAATAGAAAAGATATCATTTCTTGGTTATATTCTAAAGTGAAAATTTTTAACAGATTTATTCATTTATTTGAAAGTCAGAGTTACACAGAGAGAGAAGGAGAGGCAAAGATAGAGAGAGAGAGAGAGAGAGAGAGAGAGAGAGGTCTTCCATCCACTGGTTCACTCCCCAATTGGCCACAATGGCTGGAGCTGCACCAATCTGAAGCCAGGAGCCAGGAGCCTCTTCCCAGTCTCCCACGCAGGTGCAGCAGCCCAAGGCCTTGGGCCATCTTCTAATGCTTTCCCAAACCATAACAGAGAGCTGGATCAGAAGTGAAGCAGTTGGGTCTTGAATCGGAACCCATATGGGATGCCAGCACTGCAGGCAGAAGCCTTACCCACTACACCACAGCATCGGCCCCCTAACGTGAATTTTTAAAGTTTTATTATATTAAAAGCCTAGAAACAAGTTTAATATATGTCCAAAACTTAAGTTTTTTTTAAAGATTTTTTATTTATTTATTTATTTATTTGAGAGGTAGAGTTACCAACAGTGAGAGGGAGAGACAGAGAGAAAGGTCTTCCTTCCGTTGGTTCACTACCCAAATGGCCACAATGGCTGGAGCAACACTGATCTGAAGCCAGGAGCCAGGTGTTTCTTCCTGGTCTCCCATGTGGGGGAAGGGACCCAATCCTCCACTGCTATCCCAGGCCATAGCAGAGAGCTGGAGTGGAAGAAGAGCAACTGGGACTAGAACCGGTGCCCGGCATCCCGGCGCCAGAGGCAGAGGATTTAACCTACTGCGCCACAGCGCCAGCCCCAAAACTTAAGTGTTAAAGGAGCCATTTACTAAGAGGGACAGTTAACGGTTAAGATGTCACTTGAGAAATCCACACCTACATTAGAGTGGCTGGGTTCAGGTTCTGACCCTGTCCAATTCCATGTAATCCACACTCTGAGAAGCAACAAGTGATGGCTCAAGATGGCTCACTTACATGGGACCCCTGTAACCCATGTGAGAGACCCGAATGAGTTCCCAAGCCCCGGCTTCAACCTGGTCTAGCCCTAGATGTTGCAGGCATTTGGGGAGTAAACCAGCAAATGACAGATCAATCTCTCTCTCTCTCTCTCTCACTGCCAATCTCTCTGTCTCTCTCCTTCTCTGTTTCTGTGTGTGTGTATGTGTGTATGTGTGTTTGTGTGTATGTGTGATTGTGTGCCTTTCAAATAATTAAAAAAAACAGAACCCTAACAACTTTGCTTCTCCTTTCAGTGATGCATTTGATTTTGAGATTGGTGTGGTGATTGTCAGAATCAGTCAAGGGTTTGACATTTCTCAGGTTCTTCAGGTTCAAGGTATGTATTTTTTATTAAGCATCTACTATGTGCTTGACATTGGCCTTCTAGTGGTGGAGATAAAATTACATTCTAGTGCTAACCCACAATGTGTGCACTTCCCCCAGCGCTTTTCCAGTTGTTTTCCAAGTGGTCTTTGTCCTGCTAACCAGAATACAGTAATTTTAGGTAGTCATCAATTATTTTTCTTATCACAAAACCACAAAGCCAGCATCAAAGAAAATAAACACCTTCAGTAAAATAACCTGCTGAATTAATTTCTGCAAGATGTTTCCTAAAATGAAGATTAATTCCTTCCTCAGAAAAACATGTATTTTGCTTCTAAGAGCCTGTGAACTGGTTTGTAGCTAACATGGAAATTAGCCTGGTTGTATCATGCTGTGAATTGCTAATCTAAGTCAGAGACAGAAACACTAATTCAGATTAGTGATTCTCTGCTTTTAGCCCTGTAGAGAATTTGGTATACTTGTTTAGCCTCAGAATTTAAACATACTTCCTTTGTATATGAAATAAAGAACATGTTTAAAGAGTTACTGAAAGATTAATTCAGGACATGAACCCATGACTTATCTCTAGTTGAACTTCACAATAGAGACCACTGACGACATAACACTAAGACAAAAGGTTATTTTCCCATGGCCTATTATATACCAGGCATAGTGGAGACCTAGGTTCTAGGTAGACCGAGGTTAACAAGTACTGTCTATACCCTCAAGAGACTTAACAGCCTGGAAAAGGATATGGATATTTGTTAGTGGATAACAGGTACAAAAAATGCATTATGAGAACGAGACAAGAGGTACCTAACTCTAAGAGGAGGAAATTACCTCTGACTTGTGAATTAGTGGATGAGTAGGAGTTAACTAGGCAATGTAGAAGAAGGGGAGGTTGAGGAAAGAATTTGAGGAATGGTATGTTTGGTAAGGAGGAGAACACTGGCAAGGATGAAGAGGCGTGAATATAGAGAAATGGGGATGGATAAATGAGCAACCCGAGGCAGATTTGTGTGAGTGAAGTCAAAGCTATGAAGCAGACAATACCGAACTATGAAGCTGCTGATGTAAGGAGAACCCAGATTTGAAAAGCCTCATTTGCCATGTTAAAAAGTAAGCATGTGCCTTTTCTTGTATATAATGAGGAGCCAGCAAAGAGAAGTGAGGGAGCAACATGGTCAGCTTTGGGGTTTAGGTCTCATACTTTTTAAGTCACACAAAGTAAGGACTCAGAGAGGACTGGAGACAATTCTCATTTTTTGAAAAAAGATTTTATTTATTTGAGAGATAGAGTTACAGACAATAAGAGGGAAAGACAGAGAGAAAGGTCTTCCTTCGACTGGTTCACTCCACAAATGGCTGCAATGGCCGGAGCTGTGCAGATTAGAAGGCAGGAACTTCTTCTGGGTGTCCCATGTGGGTGCAGGGGCCCAATAACTTGGGTCATCTTACGGTTTTCCCAGGCAAATTAAAATCCTCATGCCAATTTTTGATTATTCACATTGTTAAGAATTGGGGGCAGCTTCCAAGATGGCAGAGTAAGAAGGGAGCTTACCGCTCTAGTTCAGAGCAGAGAGCTGGATTGGAAGAGAAGTTGCCGGGACTAGAACTGGCGTCCATATGGGATGCCAGCACGCAGGCAAAGGATTAACCTACTGCACCACAGTGCCAACCCCAAGGACAGGAGACAATTCAAAAAGACTTCTATAATAGAATATAATAATCAAAAGAATAGAATAGAATACAATAATATTGGTACTTATAATTATTTTATTAGCATCCAACTGTATTTATAGAATATAAATATAGAATATAATCTATATAAATATAGCACATACATTATATCCAACTGTAAATATAGAATAGAATAGAATACAATAATCAAAGCACAAGAAGACAACATTTTGAACTAGGGAAGCCTCCATAGGAATAAAGAGTAATGACAATAGCTAACATTTTTGAACACTTACCCTGTGCCATGTATCACACTTCATGTTCTCACATAACATTTATCATCTCAACTACTCTATCAGGAAATTATTATCATTGTCTCCATTTCACAGCTGATAAAATTGAGACTTACCCAAGAGTCACAAGGCTGGTAATTGGCAGAGCTGTTTGAGGCCACTATTCTACCTTGAAAAGGGAGAACTAGAGAAGACAGTGACTTCCATCATGAGAGACAGTGGTGGAATCTGAGATACAGGAATAGGACAAAGCTGTTTCCATATATTACTTAAGACCCTTAACATGGGGGTTGCCTGCCACTGACTTTCAGGGCAATTACAAGAACCTAATATTATGAGAACCATTCTGCCTTACCTCTCTAGGTTTTCTCTGCATTTCTTTTTCTAGCTTTTGTGCTGTAATGCTGCCCTAAAAAATGAGAAATACAAAAATATCTTTTGTATTTAGATTTCACATTTATTTTGTATTTTGTATTGGTGTTTTCAAACTGAAAGATGTGATATAGTTGAAAAATATTGCACCCACCCATTATTATTCTATCCACCAAAATGTACCATCAGTTTATTTCTATAGAACAATATACCAACCAAATTTTGTAAGCATTTCTCAAAGAATCCTGGTAGTGAACTATATCCCCTTTTAATTTCCCAAGGAACATATCCTATTTAAATCAACTTTGATGTTTGAAATATTTCCGCTTCTTAGTCAAAAAAGGGAAAATACAGTTGGATGCTAATAAAATAATTATAAGTACCAACTATCTAGGGTGAACAAAAACAATGTTACAAAAATACATGAAAAGCATGAGGAAAAACAACAGCATAATGATAGAAATTAACTTTGCACCACATTTTCATGCATTATTTTGAAGTTTATGTAATTTATGACACAAACCTCATATTAGATTTTGAATTGGAAGAAATAAGCTTGCATTTCATTATATTATTCTGCAATACAGGACTTAATAAGAGCCTGATAAATCTTAAGTATTGCATTATACTACGTTAATGATTATCATCATAGCTTTTCCAACACAGGCACTGCAATGTCATCACAGATTATAATTTAAAGGAAATATTAGCAATTCAGAGTGCCCATATACTGTAGTTAATAAAGCAGTGAATAGAAATCAGCTTTATAGGTAATTTACCACTAATGACAATTATTTCTATACTGTATCACAGGCTTATATGAGAATAATTTTTATATAAATAAGATCAAAGCTCATAGCATTCTAATTGTATATTGCAACTACTCATCCAATATTGATGACTGATAATTTCTCTTAAATTAATTTATTGTTTGACAACATAAAAATGTATTTTACATTGTTCACTTCCCAGGGGTATTTAGGAAGTTTGGCAACTACAACAAAAAATCCAAATGGTACTGGTAGGAAATAAAGTGATGAAACATGATTTGCAATATGTTGTGGTCAAGTATTCCATCTAAGTAGTGTGCGATTTATGACCTTTTCAGAGTACGGTGATACTGCTGTGTCTGATGGAGTGGCTTAGCAAAATAAAGACAGATGGCAGTGTAGTAAATAATTACTTGATTGGAAAGCAACCACTGCAGGATTGCTTCCTGCCTTCAATGCAGCTAGACTTCACCTGGGGTTCGGCACATTGATTCATATGAGTATTTATGCTTTTGAGTTGATTCACCAAGGAAAGAATCACAATTTAATAATTAAAACACAAAGCAGACGCTATGAAATGGGAGGGGATGTGATTCTCCAGTGGGTTGCTCTCCATTCTGCTGTCAGATAATTGACTGCTCCCTATTCTTAAGATTTGTGATTCATAGACCCTTGCCTATTTCAAAAAGTATTTTTTTAAAAAAGTACTAGGGATAGAACATTTGGGGTGATCTTGAAAACCAAATTGAATTTCAAAATATACTCCAATGGGTCACTATATAGTCCATTTATAAAGCATTTGAAAATATAGTAACCTCTGTTCAAGTAGGTTTGGCACTTGCATGAAGATATGACTCAGGAATTAGTCTTTGTTCTTAGCATAAGAAGTAGATAAATTAACCTAATGGATTCTCTGAAAATCTTAAAAAGAGACGTGCAGGGGGCAGACAGTAGGCACAGCAACTAAGTCACTGCTTGGGACTGCCACATCCCATATCAAAGTGCCTAGGTTCAAGACCCAACTCTGCTTCCCATAGCTTCCTACTATGCCACCCACACAGGAGACCTGAATTGAATTCCTGGCTGCAGTTTGGGAATGACCCAATCATGACTATTGCATGGATTTGGGGGCATGAACCAGTGAACCAGCAGATGAAAGATCAATCCCTCCCTCCCTCCCTCCCTCCCTCCCTCCTCCTTCCCACTGTTTCTCTGCCTCTCCATCCTTCAAAGAAAATGAAAATAGATAAATTTAGTTTTCAAAGAGAGAAAATGGCAGACTTTCCTTCTCTCTCATTCTCACTGTCTCTCAGTGTGGCTTTATATATTAAATTGTGATTGTTTCTTTGGTGAATCAACTCAAAGGCATAAATACTCATATGAATCAATGTGCCGAACCTCAGGCTTTAAAATTGTGACATTTACTATGGAATTACCTAAAATGGAAGATTCAAATTCAACGTGATTCACACTACCTGATTCCCAAGTGCTTCTCCTTCCCCAGGAAGTCTCCTTCTTCACTTGCCTCACCATCCTGTGCTTACTCCCACTTGTCCCTCCTTCTGTCCTCTTCAGCCTGGATTATTACAGCCAGCTCCTGTAAGCCCCTTTCTGTAAGTTTGTACACAGTGTTAACTCCAATTCTTTCAATCGCAGTCTTTTTAACCTACTTCCTACCCACATACCTTTTTCACACTCCCTCCCTTACAGCTCTGTCCTTGCTTTTCTTCCTTTATCAAGATAACACTTCCAAAAATATTGAACTATATCAACAGGATTGACCAGTTTTCTTACTTATTTCAACAAATAATTCTTGAGTGCCTATCATGAGTAAATCTGGGCCCAGACACTAGCAGGGAGAGCTAAGAATGTGAGAAAGCATATATGAAGCCCAACAT